TGAGCCCAGCAGTTGGAGACCAGCCTGACTAACATAAAAAGACCTCATCTCTATAAAAAGTAGCTGGGCATGGTGGCATGTGCTGTAGTCCCAACTGCTTGAGAAACTGAGGTGGAAGGATCGCCTGGACCTGGAAGTTTGAGGCTTCAGTGAGTCGTGATCATACCATTGCACTCAAGCCTGGGAGAAAGAGTGAGACCTCCAACTAAATATATAGATACACAGATATCTCATAAACACACATAAACATAAAGAAATAAAATGAAAGCAGTCACGGGGAGTAGATAAATCACTTACAAAGAGAGGCCAAGGATCAAGGCATCTAAAAAATAAGACAATGAGTTAAAGTAGAACCCTAGACATAAGAGAAGACAGAAATTTTTTTTTGTTTCACAAAAGCATGACTTGATCTGGTCTTGATTCACTTATAATGCACAATTGGACAATTTAGTTAAAATGCTCCCTTAAGATGAGAGCATGCAATCTTTATTACATAATAAATAAAAGATCAGGTCTACTACCACGTGTTAGCTGATTGGCAAGTAATACTGTCAAAAGCAAATAATAATAATAATAATAATATTTTTTGTTCTCTCTCAAATTAGTGTACAATTATTGAGGAATGTTTTATGTTTAACATTGAATTTGGTAACAAAATACTAATATTTTCTTAATATTTGTCTTTTTAAAAATAATTATTGTTTTTCCCTAACATTTAATGCACCTTATTCTTTTCTCAAGACAAAACGTCTGTGGACTTTAGAAGTCAAGAATCGCCAGAGCCCAGCAAGTCGAGGCTGCGGTGGCCAGGAGCGACCACTGTACTCCAGTCTGGGTGACAGAGTGAGACTACAACTCAAAAAAAAAAAAAAAGTCAAGAACTACAGAAAATAAATAAATATATATCTGTATATATATATATATTTTAAAACTCAGGTTTAGTCATATCTTTCAGGGGTTTTTTGACTGCTGTCATTTATGTTTGCTTTTTGCCTGGAATAATTACTTCTTATTTAAAACCCTCCCCATTTCTAAGTTGAAATAATGGATTACCGCTCACAATGAAGGTTTGGAATTTTCTTCAAGAGATACACATTTTTCTTTTCTTAACCTTTAAAGGAGACGAGTTGAAGCATGCCATGGTAAATATTCCTACAGCAACCACTCTGCTCCTGTAACCGCGCACTCTTTACACTGTCTTTCAAGAATAAATATCATTTGAGAAACCGTGGCAGGGGTAGCACATCTCTTCAGCCACAAACTATTTCTTCCCCAGGGCAGTATTTCCCAATTATGCCATCCTGTCATCATCACCTCCTTCTTGTCTGAACTCATCAACATTTCAGCCAAATTACTGTGCTGCTAAGTCACTGGGAAAATCAGGACCCCACACCAAGACGATCATCTTAGAAATGCACAAACCCTAGCATGGGTAAAGAGAGATCAAATATTTCAGAAAATTGGGATGTTTGTCTAGATAGGTGGCCTAAATGTCTAGTCTGATTAGGAAAACCATTTTAAGCAGAAAATATAATTTGCCATAATAATGAATTAAAAAGAAAGTCCCAAAGTATCTGCCCTTAGCCAAACTGAGTATAACTAATGAAATATGACTTAAAACAGAGTAAATCTTGAATACAAAAGAGCAACTTTTCGAAGGCATGCTAATTTTTTTGTAAGTACATAAAAGATGTTTATATATTCTAGAAAACCAAGGTACCATTTAAACTACATTTGTGTTTGCAAACACTTAAATATTATTATCTGCCATTCATCAAGAAAAGGAGCAGTGAGAAAAAAAAACTAAACACTTTAAATGCACAATGTATAATTTCAATTTTGTTAGGCAACTGTGGAGATGGCTTTTGTGTGTGTGTGTTTGTATAACACAATAAATGTGTAGCCTACAGTCAAGGAGATTGCATAAATTTTCCCCTGGCATAGCTACTATTTTCAGCTGTACTCAAGAGAATATTGTATCTGCACGGTGTGTATATAGACACACCTTCAACATTCGTTAACATTAACTTTTATTTTGCTTCCTGTTATGCATGTGTATATGTGCTTTTATTTAATAATGTTAGTTAACATTTCCTTCTTCTGTAAATAATGATAGTATGATTTGAAAAGTCTGGCTCAGTTCCCAGACTTAGGTCAAGCTAATATATACATATATTTAGTCCAGCTTACTGTTTTATTGGACTTTGATGTTGTTACATATTTTTCGGAGGAGTATTTTTTTTTATGTTGCAAATTCTAAAAATGATCCTGAATACAAAGCGTGGTTTTCTTTTCATCTTAACTGTAATAAGAAGGTGGATCTAATTGGGAAATTCCAACAATTTACAGCATATATATTTGGGATAATGTGGGAGGTTAAAATTATGTTGAGCATGAGAAATTGTTTCTATATTATTTTCTGGCATAAAATCATGCTTTGTTATTTTTGCATGTCTCAGAACATTCGAAAAAAGAAAACTATGCATCAACAATTAAAAAGCAAGTAACTACAAATTTTATAATATCAGAAATGAATTCAACCTGCTTCTAAGATTTTTAGTTTGAATATGTTTCTAACTAGCATCATTATTCTTTTAGACATGAGACCGACAATTTTCAAATTACCATTAACTCTTTCTTATCCATACCTCTTTAAATTCTTTAATTTATTTTTATTTTTTCTATTAAACATTTCAGCCAAATTACTGTGCTGCTAAGTCACGTGAAAATCAGAACCCCACACCAAAATGGTCATCTTAGAAATGCACAGCCCAGCTGGGCTCGGTGGCCCAGCCTGTAATCCTGTGCTGTGAGAGGCTGAGGGAAGTGGATTGCCTGAGCCCACGGATTCGAGACCCACCTGGACAACTTGGTGAGACCTCATCTCTATAATAAATCAAAAAATTAGCTGGGCGTGATAGCGCACGCCTGTAGTTCCAGCTACTTGGAAGGCTGAGGCGGAAGGATTGCCGGAGCCCAGCAGGTGGTGACTGCGTTGGACAGGAGCGGCCACTGCACTCCAGTCTGAGTGACAGAGTGAGGCTCTGATTCAGAAAGAAAGAAAGAAAGAAAGAGAGAGAGAGAGAGAGAGAGAGAGAGAGAGAGAGAGAAAGAAAGAAAGAAAGAAAGAAAGAAAGAAAGAAAGAAAGAAAGAAAGAAAGAAAGACATAATCCCTAGAATGGGTAAAGAGAAATCAAATACTTCAGAGAGAAAAGTGTTTATCTAGATAGGTGGTCTATTCTCAGAGATCTCACTCCATAACTATTATCTAATTGAGTTTCCTAATTGTCTTTTATAATTTACTTTCTCTCCTCACCCAACCATCCTTCATTTTGAAGCCAAAACAACCTTGGTCATAATATTTTCTTCTTCTCAATTGTTTCTAGTGAATGGAATTCAAGAGAGCGTTTTCTATTCCAGTCATATCTAAAACTTACCTTTAGTGATTTGAAAATATACCAGTCTTGAGCCATAACCTCAAGATTCTAAGTCATTGTACAAGAATTAGACAAGGATCTCCTAAAAAAAATACATATATATACATATATGTTTTAGTATTGTTAATAAAACCCTACACTGCTAGTCTAGTGCAATAACTGGGTAATAACAAGTCTTAAACAAATATTTGTGGAACAGATGAATTATTGATTCTCTGTATGACTAGCTTATTCTCAAGTAAACCTTTTCTGGACACCTGAAACTTAACATTCCTCACTCCACCGTTTTAAAATTATTCTTCATAGAAATTACCACAGTGTAAAATAACATCTGTATTTGGTTTTTGACTATATCAACCGTATGGAATATAAGATCCATGAGAGCAGAGGCCGTATTTGTTTTGTTCACCACAAACAATAGCCTGCAATAGCACCTGGTAAACAGAAGGATAAAAGAAAATATTTTCTGAATGAATGAATGAGTCCTACAAAAAGATGAATGAGCATTCGCCACTCAAAGGCCAAGTTCTCCTATACAGTTTCAAGGTCGGCAACATAGTCTCTGGGAACTAACTGCTTTTTAAGTGCTGTAGAGCAACTTCAAAGATTGGCAAGTCTTTTAACTAAGCAGTAGATAGAGTGTCACTCTTTTCATTTTTATATTTTGAGTTGGAGTCTTACTCCATCGCCCTGGCTGGAGCTCAGCGACACGCTCACAGACACCCCAGCATCTACCTGCTGGGTTCTGGCCATCCTTCTGCCTCAGCCTTCCAAGTAGCCGAACTATAGGCACATGCTACCATACCCAGCTAGAGTGTCACTCTGTGACACTTAGAGCATCTCACTCTCTTTGGTCACTAAGGAATCATGATCTGTTCCAGAGAAGGGCTGCCCACTAGAGCCTCCTGCATTAATGGGAATGTTTCATGCCTGTACTATGCAATATTGTAGTTAATTAATTTATATAGTCATAGATTGCTACGGGCTACCATATTGGATTGTGCAGTTCTAGAGTTATCTTTCTTTCCTCTTAGTCAAAAATATCATATGATGCTATCATAACCAAAAGATTAGCCAGGGCTCCTATAGTGGGTGCAGCAGTCATGTCCCCTGAAAAATGTCATTGGCGACTTTCATTTTGTCTGTGATACTTAGAGCAAAATTCTAGTCTCCATGGGAAAGACCTGGCCCCTATTATTACCTGGCTTTTTGCCTTGTCTACCTCACTTGGCGTGGATCTGGTGATGGTGCTTTCCTCAGGTGTTTGTCCCTGACTGTCCTGTGACATCTTCCCAGAGCCTTGTGCATGATCTCACCTGTGGAAAGTCTCCAGGGGTGAATGGAGCTTTCCTCCACATTAATTGAAGACATGTATGTTAGTCGTGAAAATACCAGAATCATCTTAATATTCCCAACGACGTAAACATAAGGTAGGTATACTAGGAGAATAAACAGGACCTCATTTCTGACTGGAACCAGCTGCCAATTATTGCCCAGCAGACACTCAGAAGGTTGTCATCAGATCATATGAGAAATTGTACCCCACATTATATCCCCTAGACATGCCTGCAGTTGTTCATTTTGGCGTTGTAAGTCTCAAGTTGTGAAAATATAAACACATTCACTACCTAAATAATCTTTTCTGGTAAAATCTGTAGGGTCAATCATTTCAGAATTTTCATTATTGCACAGGGATTCGTATCCAAACAATTGGCAGTGGTGGGTATGGCAAGTTATCATTTTAAAAATATAGAAACCTGGGACAAGACAGATCAATATAGTCTAGAATGTCTATAGCAGAGCATCAATAGAAGAACCAAACTTCTTTAAATGAAAATGACTAGCCATCATTTAACACTTTATCATTTACAAAGAGGTTGACTACACTGAACTGATCTTGAGTCAGTTTCCTCCAGACATTTCCATTCTTACAATTTTTGGGGAAACCAGAAAGCGTGAAGTAAGTAATATGTGAGTGAGAATGAGTTTATGAACTTTTGCATAGGGGGTTATTCTGGTTATTTGTTGCATAACACACTACACTGCCCAAGTAGCAGCTCAAAGCATAGGTTTACTATTATATATTATGATTCTGTGAGTAAAAGTTAGAAAAGACTGCACAGGAAGGCTCCTCTCTGCTCATAATGCCTGGGATTTACCTGGAAGGACTTGGAAGGCTGGAGAAGCTGATGGCTGCTGAGTCTCTCTCTGGCTCTTGCTGTGGTTAACCAGGGCTTCCTCACAGCATGTCAGCCCCAGTGCAGTCAGGTATCATGTTACTGCAAAGCAGCACACAGCTTCCCCAGTGAATGTTCCAAGAAACGGGAAGTCGAAGCTGTCAGAGTTGGAAGTTGGGCTTGGTATCTGGCACAGCTTTCCTCCTGCCGTCTTCTTTCACTCAAAGCAGAACCTATTCAAAGATCATCTATGTTCAAGGGGAGGAGGCACACGTCCTCACCTCCCTCTGGAAAGAGGGGCCAAGAGTTTGTGAGCGTCTTTAATCCATGGCAAGCAGAGTTGATTGTTGTATACTACCACCCCCTCTCTCCATCTGCCTATAATGATTGTTCACAGAGGCTTGTTTAGCATTGTGTAGACATGAGATTATCTTTATGTTTATTTGCCAGTTAAAAGGGAGAGCTATTAGATTGGAGAGATTAAGAAGCAAAAGTTTGGGAGCCAGTTAAAACTAGAATGGAGTCTCTTGTTAGCCATTTCCCAGCTGTATAACTATGCCAATTATAACAAGATGTAAATTTCTCATCTGCAAAAATAAGAAAAAAATAATACTTATTTGGCTTGATTGTTGATAAAAATTAAAAACATTAATTACAAGGAACAAACTTGATGCATATTATGTGTTTCATTGATGTTGCTTATTTTTACTCCCTTGTGCAAGACATAAAGGAATTTAAACACCACCAATATTCCCTTTCATTTTTAAACCCAGATATAAATTGTATAAAGTCTACTTCAGAGGTTTTCAAAGGACTAGTCTTCTGAAAAAATCCAAAAGCTCCCTAAACTCCATTTCTATGTTATGTTTTATCTTTATATTACTTTAAATTCTTGTAAAAGTTAGATTAAACTGTGTTGAAGCGGCATAATATACTTGACATATTTTCAAGAGTAGAGAAATTTCAATTAAGTTGTAAGATACAGAAATCCAGTTTTTTCAATTAAAATGTACTTTTTGTTTTCTGGAGTATTAATAGCCATTCACACTTATAGCTCAAAAAATATAACCCTGTGAAACACACAGAAGATTTTTCAAATCTTATATATCTTTCAATAGAAAGTCAAAACTTAAAATATTTTCCCGAATCTCATGCTGTATTTTTGTAAAGTAGAAAATCAGAGGAGTAGTTTTGCTTTTAAGTAAAAACCTGGAAAATGTAGCACATTTTGAATATCTATAGGCTCAAATGTAAGCCAGAGTCTATAGCATTTATAATCTGTCAATGTGTACTTCTCACTTCTTTTTCTATTTTAATCTTTTTGAGAAAGGAGGTCACTCTGTCACCCAGGCTGGAGTGCAATGGCATGATCATAGCTCATTGCTGCATCAAACTCCTGGGCTCAAGCAATCCTCCCACTTCAGTCTCCAGAATAGCTGGAATTACAGGCTTGTGCCACCATCTCTGATTAATTTTTAATTTTTTTTTTTGGTCATGATGGATTCTCACTATGTTGCCTAGGCTGGTATCAAACCCTTGGCCTCAATGATCCTCCTGCCTTGGTCTCCCTAAGTGCTGGGATTATAGTCATGAGTCATTACGCTTGGCCTTGTCAATGTTCAAGTCTATTAAATCCTTAGAGGGTTCTAATATTTTTTTAAAAGACATCAGTAAATTATGACTACTTCTCAGAGCTTGTTTAAACTATGACAGATAACTTAAAATCTTACATGCAAGCTATGGCTTTGAATTGGTTTTCTGTCACTGCCATAATAAATTAGAGCAAATTTAGTGGTCAAAAGCACACACATTTATTATTTCACAGTTCTCATCAGAAGTTATACAAGGGTTTCTTCTGACTAAAATCAAGAGATAAGCAGGGTTGCATTCTTTCTGGAGGGTCTGGGCCTGGATTCTGTTCATTTGTTTTCTCCAGCTTCTAATGGCCACTTGCAGGCCTTGGCTTGTGGCCACTCCCTCTGTCTTGAAAGCCAGTAATGTTGCATCTCTCTACTCAGTCTTTCTACATCATGTCTCTAAGCACAGCTGAAAAATATTTTTTGCTTTTAAAGACTCACGTGATTAGATTGAATCCACTAAGATAATCCAGGCCACTCTCCTCCCCTCAAGGTCCTTAATATTAATAACATTTCCAAAGTCCTTTTGCTATGTAAGATAATATATTCACAGGTTCTAGGGATTAAGACTTGGACATTTTTGGCGGGGGAGATCAAGAAAAATTTTGCTTACAGCCACCCTTGATAGCATAAATACCACATAGATTTCATAGATTTCTATAAGATTTTTCCAAATGGAGTATTATTTTGCCTCAAAGGTATAGACAATCTGTCTTTGAGTGCCAAGTGTAGATATTTAGACATTTGGTTTATCTCACTTTTAATTTCAGACCAAATTTAATGATTGCTTGATGATACAGGCTACACAAGTAATTTTATTTACTTTTATTAAGCAGAATAATCACATTTCAATTAACAGATTCTTTTTAACAACAATAAAAAATTATAAATATTAGCTGAGAGTGACAGATATGAAATGAATTCTAAAAGTTCAATCAATGCCTGGCAGAATAATTTGGGAAGCAAAATAATTAGAAACAATTTTCATTGTAAGGCATGCAGTATGTTAATTTCTTCCACTTAGCCTTTAACAAAGCTAAGGATGTTGGAATGAAAACAAGCTTATTGTCTTCTAATGATGGCCATGCCTTGGAATACTATTCCTTACAGAGATTTGTCCCGGGTTTGTGCCATCACAAGAAAACATTATGGAAATAATTGTGGGTAAACAGAAGCCAGACATCAAAAGGAGAGAGATCTTGGAGCAAATATCGATTCTCGTGCTCATCTTGATGACTGTATGTATAAATAAATAAGAAATGTGGGATGAGCAGAGGAATTTATTCTAAATGAATTTTTTTATAAGATCAAGGTTCTTTTTAAAAACCAGTGTAAAATTAGGAAGGAATCAAATGTCAGCATGGGAAGTAGGTAGAGCATCATTTGTTCAGGTAGGAGAGATTTATCGTCTTGTTTAGACAGTTAAGCAACATACCATATGGTTCAAGAATGTTAGTACTAGGAAGAATATTAAATTCAAAGTAACTGAAGAGCGTACTTTTTCTTTACACTCTTTTATAATCATTTACCCTCTCTTGACTTCCTAGATGCATATTGTTGTCTCCTAGCTGCATTTTCTCCCCTTTAACTTACAGATTTTCCCTATATTAAAATTACTTCTGCTATGTCATATTTTATTAGGACTTTATTTTCTTATAGTGATAGTGACTGAGGAAGAAATTCTCATTATCCAATCCTAACTATCTTATTCCTTTCAGATATCCACTAAACACACACACACACACACACACACACACACACACACACACAAATAAAGACAAAAAGTTATGTGCCCATGGCGAAAATTTTAAACACTTCTGACAGATAGAAGGAGGAAATCGGCCGGGCTCGGTGGCTCAGCCTGTAATCCCGTGCTTTTGGGAGGCTGAGGTGAGTGGATTGCCTGAGCCCGTGG